GCACAGGCATATGTCAAAAATGGAAGGTTGTATTGCAGAGCAGCCTGGTTGAGATCTTGGATGAGTCAATGTTTTAATGACCCAGATGATAGAGTGTCCTTATTTAAATTTGCTGTCAACACCAAGGTGGAAGTGACTGTGAGCATGTTGGAGAACAAGAATAGAATTAAAAATAATTTTGGTGAATTGGGAAGATTTCTTAAGAAAGGAAGATGGGAGCTAATTCAATAGGAACTGGGTACCAAGTGCTGTATTTATCCAAAATAATCAGCAGCACAGAGTAAGGTCCAACAGATTATTAGGTAACAGATATTCCTAAAAGGATGTGGGGCTCATTGTACATTGCAAGACGGCCATGTCACTGACATCATGCTGTTTCAGAAAAAGCAATTGCATGTTAGAGTTTCAAAGGATACATATTAAAAAAAAACATCGGTACTGAGAACTGTATACTAAGCGTGGACTACCGTATCCAATTTTAGATACTGAACTCTAAGAAATATGTGAGTCTATGGGAAAGAGTGTCCACAGGCAAAGGCACTGTAGGAGGAAATATGCTGTGTTACACTGCTTTCTGGATCTTTGATCACTGTGAAGAATGAAATATACCAGGGGTGGTTTAGGTCAAAAAGAAAACATTGAGCAGGAACTTCATAACAATCTCAGTAAGAGGAAAGGCTGTTGAAAAAAAGAAAGGAGGCAATCAGTCTGTGGAGATCCTGTGCTCCTGTGCCGTGCAATTCCTGTTCTACCCACCAGAAATAAAAAAAAGTAATTACAAAGTGGTGCCGAATAATAAAGATTCTGCAGCACCAGAACACACTTCAGGAGTAGGGTATGGAAGCTTCATCTGTATGAGGCTTAGATGTTTCTGTCAAAAGTATAGTTAGTCCTGGCTGGAGGCAGCAGGGTGAGCTGATAACTCCCAGAAATACAGAGCCAAAATAGACATGAGGTCTTTCAGAACTGGGAGATAATATGCCGAAGACCCATGTAAGCAAATTGTGTGGACGTTCTGAAGCTCATGTAGGCATCTCCCGGCAAAGTCTTCCTCAAGCTTCTTTTTGTGAGCCTCCCTTGATACTTGGCAATTGTCCTTTGCATTATTTCAAAAATGGCTTTCTAAAACCCCAGAGAACTCACCCAAAGTAGCTTGCTCTTTTTCTCTTTTCTGGGGAATGGTAAGAGTATCTCATAATGGAACAGTTACTGAAACAATCATGAGCTTCTCTATGCCGAAGAAACATAGTTTGCTCAAGAGAGCCTTTGGCATGGTCTTCCTGGGAGGAGGTAATTCTTTTCTGCTCCCAGCTTTCAATTTTGAAGTAACAACTGTACTTGGAGCAGACTTGTCAAACCAGATTTTTCTCCCCTTTCTTAAACATTGCAAATACTATTCAGTAAAGCACTTATGTTCAGTATGCATCTTGTTTAGTACTTCAGAATTGGACCACTTATATTTGTTTCTGTCACTGTAAATGTACATAGCTCTGTAAGCCACTCAAGAAACTGCAAAAATTCAGTGCCACTCTTACCTCAGTACACCTTTTCCTGTATTTAATGTCTGCCATAAAATGAAAGCATTCTAAATGTTTAAATTGCTGGATGGGTAGCTTATTAAGAGGTGGCTAGATTGGTGGCTTAGTTGTGAAGAAGAAAACAGCACAAGAGTAACAGGAGTCCTTATCACAGCTCTGGGTCTCCAACGTAAATCAATTCCTTTGTCCTCATCTGTCTGTTAAAACAGGAGACATTTTTATAGGAGGGGAAAGCCATGCAGGAGCCCTTCCCACAGTTAACACCTGAAGAGCACAGGCATCTTCTGCCTCAATCCTGTCCCATGTGAGGAGTCATGAAGGTAAACTCTACAAGTTTGTAAAGCTAGAAGGATCGTCAGGTTTGCTAATGACTGAGATAACAGAACAAAAACACAGCAGTTTGTGTCACTTACTCCCAAGTATTTTCCAGAGCTGATCAAAGAATTGTGTTTTTAAAAAGAGAATTTCAGGGACATTTGTAGGGCAACCTTTGTTATATACCTTTATTTGCAGAACTTACTGTAGGTGTCACCTGATCTTGAATTAATGAATTAGTCAAGCATGTATTTTTAACTTTGTGGGATGAGCTGCTGCTTGTCAGTGTGTGCTTTAGTGCTCAAAAATCAGCATCATCTCCTTTTCCCGATGTTTTCTTGCATGCTCACTGGTAATGCAAACCTTGTCTCTGATGCAAGAGGCATTATGTGGTGACTCTGTAAAGTTCTTAGGTGCTTGTTCCCATGTGCCTTCACAGACCATGTACTTTGCCAGAAGTCACTGGCAGAGTAAGACAATACAGCAGTGCTCTGCCACCTGCCACTGTAGTCCTCTTGCTTCTCTTAGAGACATCCACAGATGGTTTAGCTTCACTTGATTCTTGATGTATGTAACTCATTTGTTGTTCATGTTTAGATGTAGCTTTTTGTCCTTAACACCAAGATAGTGATCAAAGAATCTTCTGCAGCTTATGCAAGGATAATACCTTAAAACAGAAGGCTTGGTGCAAAGTACTGGATGTGCAGCAGTATGGTGATGTGCCTCTGTCCCAAACACTAAATATAAACCAGTTGTATTTCACTGTTGTCATTAACAGGATGTTTGAAGCTATACTATTTAAGAATCACTAGTATGCAAGAATCATGGTCACTAACAAGGAATATGATTACAGTAAAAAGTTCTTATCCTCATGGCTCAGGCATGGTTTTTTTTTTAAGGTAGCAGTGTCAGGTTATGATGGGCATTGTGGTAAGTAGGCAACATGAGTCAACATTCATGCATTCCCCAGTTACCCATTTTTACCACCTGCATTACAGCAGTTTATAGATGGTGAAACAATATTCCATTTACAAATCATAAGTAGACTTGCAGAAGAGCATTGGGGACCAATTTACCATTCTCTGGAATTTACATTACCTGTGGAACACAAGTTAGTAGCCAGGTAACCCATGTGATGGCCAACATATATTGACTGCCAGCCTTTTGGAGGCCTCAATGCCAGATCACTCAAGCACTGGAGACAGAAGATATAACTTTGATTACTAACATCCCAATGGGTGGTTTTATCCTGAGTGTTCAGTGTGTGCATGGAGTGGCCAGTGGGGTGTGGGCTGGGGTGGGGCTTGGGTGGGAAAAGTCAAGGTACCCTGAGAGAATACTCTGAGAAGAAGCAGAGTGAAAATCCCCCAGTCAGCCAGATGTGCTCTTACACCCATGCAGTCACAGTGTGGCTTTGCACTGCTGTATTTTATCTGCATTACAGAAAGTAATGCAGATAAAAAGCCGTGGTTTGATCAGAGCAACCTACTGATGTAGTAGTGCATCCGTAGCTTGTCTAGAACTGATGCTAGCTAGGCAACAGCTTTGGCACTGTGTTACTTCCTCCTACCACAGGTTGGGAATCAGGGTTTCTATTAGACTTAGGGCCCTTCTTTTGGTGTGGACAGCTTGGAAACGTAAAAAGTCCCCTTTCGTAGAATCATAGAATGGTTTGGGTTGGAAGGAGCCTTTAAAAATTGCCTAGTCCAACCTCTGACATGGGCAGGGACATCTTCCAATAGGCTGAGTTGCTGATCAGTTCCAACCTCACCTTTGGCAATTCCAGTGATGGTGTGTCTGTAACTTCTCTAGGTGACCTGTTTCAGTGTCTCACTCACCATGTTCAATGTAAAAAAAAATAAAATAAAATACAGAATTCTTCCTTATGTCCTAACTCTCCCATCTTTCACTTTAAAACTGTTGGCCCTTGTCCTGTCTCAACAGGACTTTGCAAAAAGTCTCTCTAAATTTTTCTTATAAGCCCCCTTTAAGTATTGAAAGGCTGCAATAAAATCTCCCTCTAACCTTCTCTTCCCCAGGCTGAACAGTGCCAACTCTCTCAGCCTTTCCTCATAACAAAGGTGTCCCATCCCTCTGACCATTTTTGTGGCCCTCCTCTGATCCTGCTCCAACAGGTCCATGTCTTTCCTGTGCTGAGAGCACTGAAGTTGGAAGCCGTACTCCAGGTGGGGTCTTACCAGAGCAGAGTACAGGGGTGGAATCACCTCCCTTGATTGCTGGCCACAGTTCTTCTGATGCAGTCCAGGGTATGATTGGTTTCTGGGCTGCAAGTGTGCATTGCCAGCTCATGTTGGGCTTTTCATCCACCAGTACTGCCAAATCCTCCACAGCACTGCTCTCAGTCCCTTTATCCCCCAGTATGTATTGATGGTGGGGATGGGCCTGACCCAGATAAAGGACGTTGCACTTGGACTTTGTTGGGATTTCTGATGCTGAAATTTATTACATAGGCCCAGTCCTCAATCCTGTTGAAGTCCCTCTGAATGGCGTCCTTTCCCTCTAGTGAATGAACTGCATTACTCAACTTGGTGCCTGCTTCAGTACAGTGTTTAGATGGCTCTTAGTAGCCATAATGTACAAGACCCACCACAATAATGGTTGAACACTTACTCCCTGAATAGTGCTAAGATCTTAAGAAATAAGTTTTTACTTATGTCTCGAGGCATTAAGACTGAAGAGGTTGATTAAGTTATACATGCATAGCATTATTTCTTGAATTTGCTGTCTTTGGGGTGCTTGACTTTTAACTTCAGTGTTCTTTTTTTGTATTTTTTTTAGACACAAAAATATCTAAATTTATACATCTATAGTGGATGTTGTAGTACTTGGTATTTCAGTGAAAACAATAGCAAAGTTCACTGCATAGTTTTGGAAGAAAAAAAGCTACAACAAAATAGACTTGCAGTCTTCTTAAATGTTTTATAGCATGTCACTGTTCTTTCTCTTTTTATATTTTTCTTTTATTCTTCTTTGTCTAACATTGTAAATATTTAAATATGGCTCCCAAAATTAAAAACTCTAGAAAATGTTGAGCTCCTGTTGAAGTCTCTAGGGATTTTGTGTGGTAAGTTAGAACTGGTTCAGTGCATTTTAAGAATATCTTTTTACTGTAATTGTTTGTTCCAGCAACCATAACTAGTGGTCAGAAGTAAGAAGCAGAATGCAGGCCAGCCTGCTGGTGACCACTTGGAAGCCCTGAGGTTCTGCCTCTGGGTTCCAGCTACTCCTGAGCAACTGCGATGAGGACGTCTTCTATAAGTTCCTGGTATGAGCACATATTGAGCAACACTGGAGTGACTTGGTTTAGATGCAGTGGAAACTTGCAGTCCTCACAATATTCCGTTCCTTTTAATTTGCAGGGATTCTGAAGCAGAGAGAGTAGATTTCTATTACTTAAGCTTTCCAAGCAAAGGTTTCCTTCCAGAATGGGAAATAGCACTGCTTTCTTTTGCTAGATTCTTGGAATTAATCCTGGCTGAAATGGAGTCAGAGGCAAATGTTTATTTTGTTTCGTCAATCTCCCATGCATTTTATGTTGTAATCACATGTGTGTAATTTAAAAGCCCAGTGGTGAAAGAAATGCATTTGGAATTCACACTTAGCTAAGCTTCTTTGTTTTCTAGTTGTTGTTGATTCTAGTTGGATACTGATTTCAGACATAAATGTGTGTATATCTAATATATACATATATATTTATAAAAAATCATAGAACATTTAGCACTTCTGCTAAACACCATAATCTTATTAAACTGTGAGTGTATTCATCTTAGTGTTAAGATCTTGAACTGATCCTCCTACAACATGAATTGCTTAAATGAATAAGATAGTGCATTAGGTGATAAAGTATGTGTATTACACAGCACATTACTGGTTACCTAACTTATTATTTAGTTGTATATTAAAGCAGAAAGTATTTAGACAAATAACTGGATACTTTTGTGACCTTATTTTCTATGTATAAAACAGTAGCAAGCACAGTCTGATTCATGGGGGCTTATTTTCATAATTGCTATTCATGTTTAATTGGGAAAGTACAGGAAGTATACATTTCTGTCATTTAAAACCTCTAGTTGACTGAAGTTTGTTTCTCCTGTTTTTTTCTAAGAAATTTTTTGGAAAAAAATTGAAACTCTTCATGATGATGTGGTTTTTGGCTATAGATACTGGTATATGGTATACTTTACAAGCCATTTATTTGATTATTTTATTTTGAATAAGAAGAAGAGTGTGTGTTTAAAAGTCCTTAAGAAGCACTGGAATATTTTTGCCTCTATGGAGTTAATAGTACTAGTCATTCTTTAACTTGAATAAAGTATAGATGCTTTTTATGTGAGGATTGTCCTTGTAAGCTAGCTCAGGTACGCTTCTTGGAGGGATTGATGGGTTTTGTCACTTGGTGTCTTCGAGAGGGTGTCTAGCAGACCAGTAGGGGTCACTGTATGCATTGAATTTAGGAAATACATAAGTCATTTTAATTACTTTATTGTGTATGCTAGCACACTTGGAAATAGCGAATCGTAGACAATAATTCATTCTTTGTCATAGCATTTTATTGTCTTTGAGTTGGGAGTATCTGTGCAAAACACATAATAGCATTTTATAAGGTAAGTGCAAAGCATGGATATGACAAAGACTGGATGTCTAATGATAGGTTTCAGGAGGATCTGACTTTGAAAGGGTCTTCACAGCTTGCTGAAAATAGGTGTGTGCTGAGAAGAATGTGGTTCTGGCTGGAGCTGCTGTATTTTCTTATCCTAACACAATAAAAGAGACTGGAAAGTGTGATGAGGCAGGTTGATGTGCCACAAAAATGCTTTAGTAATGTTTGCTTGAATTTCATTCAAAAACTAAAGTTTAAATCATTTTAACAAGTCTGGCAGAAAGATATACCAACCGTATTTTTCCTTCTAAAATGTGCATTTGAAATAGATGGCTGATAATACCCAGCTCTTCTAAGTGAGGCAGTTAATCATGCAACTAGTTCATAATCAATGTGGTCACTTCGAACCAATGTATAAGATCCATCTGTTTCTAGTTTTTCTGTAGTGGCGATGCTGTGAAATACTTCTTTCCTTTCTGCCCTCTCCTAAAATCTGTATCTTGGGATTTTAAATGTTTCTGTCTAAGGCTGAAGAAAGATGAAAGCACATAAGCATTTTAATCCTTTCTTAAATGGGACATTTATCCAGTTTTAACTTAAATGTGAAGAATGAGAATTCTTGTTTATAATACTTCCATTACTGAGATTTCTTAATGAGGGAAGCATTGCACATAATTAGATGGAGCTAGCTATGCTGTTTATTTTCATATCCTTCCCATGACCTCCTCTTCCACAGTTGTTATACCACTTTTTGTATGTGTGTTATTCTTGCCACAGCTGTGCCTTCAGGAACTCATATAGAGATCTTGAGCTTTATTTCAAAATGTTTTGAAGCCATTGAGAATCTTCAGTGTAAGTGGTCTGTGGAAAAAGCTCTTTTTTCCAGGAAAAACCACCCAGGTTGATGCCCTAGCTGAGATCCAAGACCTGAGAATTCAGTTTTTGATTCAAGCAAGTGGAAGTGGCCTGGTAGTTTGCTGCAGAAAAGAATGCCTGCTGAGATTTGCTTAATTTGATTGATGAGCTGTATTTGAAAGCTTGTGCTGATCGCTGTTGCACGCATTTCTCTCTGACAAGAGAGCCAAAGATTTGCTCAAGTGTGTGTCTTTCTTCCTTTTTGTTTTTTTTTCAGTGAATTGGTTGAAATTCTAGTTCTATTGGAAATTTTTGCATTATAATAAAGAACATCTTTGTTTCTTCCTTTAAATAATTGTCATCTCTTCATAAAGAGTTTTATAGCATGGGAGAGAGGGAACGGTGGAGAAATAAGTGATGGAAAAGAGTATTAATCTTTTCCTTATATTCTTATTTTATAAAATTGACATTTTGCTTGATTAAGTAGTCTAAAAAGTGATATCTTAAAAGCAGAGAAGTGCCTTCAAATGATGATACATTTTGATTGAAACAGAATAACAAATTTAGTAATCCAGTGAGAAAAAGCAAACGTTTTCAGCAAATGTTCCTTGAATTAACAAAATTACTTCAGCTTCACTACTTGTTTTTCATTCTTCTGTATTTTCATTTTTCTCTGCATCTCCAGTGCAGTCATTGTAGCTGAAATGAATCACAGCTTTTCTGGATTCTCTTTGCTCCCAGGTATACTAATTGTTCCAGTCATCTAAGCTTAATATATTCTAACACTTTTATATGTAGTGTTTGTTTCTTCAGAAGCTGATCTTTGAAACAAAAGCTTCCTCTCCTTTTAATTTCAAATACATTATGATTTTCTATTATATCAGTACTTTAAAAGATTGAACGTGAATATTTCCACCTCTTCAGTTGATGAGTACGCAGCAAAATTCTGCAGTAGTTCAAGTTAATGTTATGTTGCTAACATGATAGCAACTGAGATTATTAGTTTTAGTTCGGTAATACAGATTAACTATAGCACTTACTATTTAGCATGACCTATGTATGATTTATTATAATGGTTACTGATAAATGAGTAGTGAAAATTGGGAGAGTATAGTATGTTGGCATTTTTTAAAGGGAATATTTGATTAGGGCAAATAATTGCTATATTACTCACTGACTAATTGTATTACCTTTTTTTGCAATTATTTTTTTCTTCAGAAAAGCTATCTATTCCAAGGTAGGCGGAAATAAAACTTTCCGGGAGGGTTCAGGGGGTTGATGTGGATTAGGAATATGACAAAATGTCAGCATACTGTACTATAGCTTCAGACAGCAGCTTGGTAAACAAGAGATTGGGGGGAAGGGGAAGAAATCCTTTTGTTTCTTCATCTATGGGGAAAACATAGACTTGTCTTTCTTCAAAATACATCCAAAGAATAGTTTTAGAAGTATGTTGACAAGTTCACTAGATTTCTATGGAAACATATAGGAAACAGGTTCCTGTATCTAGTCTGAACATACAGGAAACAGGATCTGAGAAGATAAAAATATTTTGTCACTTTATTGACTGAAACAGTGCTTCTGTGGTTTTAAATTAATGATGTGTGATTCTATCTTTATGTACTGAATTGCTGTAGATACATTTTAAATTTAGATTCTATTTGTAGGCTTTGTATTTCGTAAATCACAGATGTAGCTATTTACTTTTTTTTTAACTGTCTCATTTTCAGGTATACTTTTACTTAACATAAAACCTTTAAAAAGGTAAAAATATCAGTAAAGTATAATAATTATTTTTTAAAAAACTAGTTTACAAATAGTAACATAAGTGAGAGTTGATAACTGTCAAGCCACCTCAGCAGGGTGAAAAGACTTACTACATTGTACAGTAGTGAATGTTGCACTGATTTTTGAAGTTACTGCTCGTACACTGTATTTCATGCAGAACACAGATCGGTCATTTTGCCAAGGAGCAGAGTAAGAAGACTGAGGCTAAAAGAGGGAGCAAAAAATGACATGGAAGCGCACTGCAGAAATTGTCATAAGATCCTCAGTGTGGGACCCTTTGATAACATGCTTTTAGTGCAAAAGATGAACCTGTGCTCAAAGGAGCTCTCTTAAGTGATGTGTTTTCCAATGGAAAGATCTGATTATGTGATGCAGGTTATAGTGTCTCATGCTTTGGGATTCAAGATAGCAGAACTATAATTTACTGCAAATTAGTAAACATGGTTTTTGTTTTTCTTAGTCTTTCAGGATTCCTTTTAAAAGTGTTAGTTTCTTGATTTATTGTAAATATTTTATAGAACAACAGCCTATGGCACTAAAATCTATACTTATCCACTAACAAAGAAAGATTAACTCTAATGCATAAGGAATACAAATACTAGTTTTTCTTTTGACTTTGACTTAAACTTCATTGAGTTTAACTAGGAAAAACAGAAAAGTCATTGCTTCAGCTTAGTGTGCCTATGTAGAAAAAAGTGGTGATACCCCTACAGGCATGCTTTGAGCAATGGCTTGGGCATTTACCCAGTTCATATATCCCTGTCATAAAGAGTCAGTTTCTGTTCTTTTGAAGTCAGATGCAGTGATGTAGCCTTTTTCTGAATTATTCACACGGAAGAAAAAGTCTTCTGTCTCTTCTAAAACAGAAATACCTGTGATGTATTTTGTCATAATGAGATAAAGGAATATTAAAATAATGTCCTAAATATGAACAACTAGTTTAGATTATTGCATGCTTCAATTAGGATCTGCTTTACAAAAATAAAATCCAAATCTAAAAGTAATTAAGAAGTAACATCAGA